TTTACCATCTGCTTTAAAATGATGTTGACCATTTACAGTAAATGAAACAAAATGCTTTTTAAAATAATGTAACACTTTAAACTATTTTTACTACCAAACTTTCCCTCCCCAGTGAACACATTCATCTTACTGAGCAAAGGTTTATTTAAGCTACACTTACATCTATGTTGTTTTTAGCTCATTTCCTTTTTAAAAAAGCAATTGGTGAATTTATTTCCCAGTTTAGCTGTTATAATAAAATATAAAAGGCATTTCTGTTTTGGCCTCAAGTATAACATTATCAAAAGCTATGAGAGTTACAGCAGAATATAGGACAGCATAAAATTAGAAACTGCGGGTGTTTCCTTAGCAGCAGTTACTGCACTTGCAATTTTCCCCCTCTTGCTACCAGAAGAAATCTGAAAGTCATCTCTGTGTACCAGACAACAAACCCAGAGTGTGTTTTTCTGAACAGTAGCTTTACTGAGATATTATTCACATAACTTGCAATTTACCCTTCTGAAGTATACAATTCAGTGGGTTTTAGGGTAGTCACAGAGTAACCATCATTATAAACTTAGAATATATGCTCTACTGCAAAACAAAACCCAGTGCCCATTAATAGTCACTCCTCATTCCCCTATCTGCCCTTCCACTAGCAACCACTAATCTACCTTCTGTCTCTGTGGATTTGCCTATTAGCAGTTCAGTTCAGTTCAGTAGCTCAGTCGTGTTCAACTCTGCAACCAAATGGGCTGCAGCATGCCAGGCTTCCCTGTCCATCACCAACTCCTGGAGCTTACTCAAACTCATGTCCATTGAGTCGGTGATGCCATCCAACCATCTCATCCTCTGTCGTCCCCTTCTCCTGACTTCTCCTCTTTTCCAGCATCCGGGTCTTTTCAAATGAGTCAATTCTTCGTTATCAGGTGGCCAAAGTACTGGAGTTTCAGTTTCTGCTTCAGTCCTTCCAATGAACACCCAGGACTGATTTCCTTTAGGATTGACTGGTTGAATTTCCTTGCAGTCCAAGGGACTCTCAAGAGTCTTCTCCAACCCCACAGTTCAAAAGCATCAGTTCTTTGGTGCTCAGCTTTCTTTATGGTCCAACTCTCACACCCATACATGACTACTGGAAAAACCATAGCTTTGACTAGATGGACTTTTGTTGGCAAAGTAATGTCTCTGCTTTTTAATATACTGTCTAGGTTGGTCATAACTTTTCTTCCAAGGAGCAATTGTCTCTTAATTTCATGGCTGCATTCACCATCTTCAGTGATTTTGGAGCCCCCCAAAATAAAGTCTATCACTGTTTCCATGGTTTCCCCATCTATTTGCCATTAAGTGGTGGGACCGGATGCCATGATCTTAGTTTTCTGAATGTTGATTTTTAAGCCAACTTTTTGCCTATTACAGACTTTTCATATAAATATAATCATAGAATATGTGTCTTTTGTGACAACTTCTTTCACTTGGTACAATGTTTTCAAGGTTTATCCATGTTGAAGCCTGTATCCGTACTTCATTCCTATTTGTTGCCCAGTAATATTCAATCATATGGATATACCAACATGTTTATCCATTCACCATCCAATGGATATTTGAGTTGTTTCCCACTTGTTGACTGTTAGGAATAAATGATGCTATTAACATTCACATAGAATTTTTTATATTGGACATAAATTTGCATTTTTTCTTGAGTACATATATAGGAGTGGAATTAGTCACGTGGTAATTCTGTTTAACTTTTTGAGGAACTACCAGACTACTTTACAAAGTGGATGTACTGTTTTACATCCTCATCAGCAGTGGATGAGTGTTCCAATTTCTTCACATCCTTTCCAACACTTGTTATTATCTCTTTGTTTGTAACCATCCTAATGAAAGTGAAGTGGAATCTTACTGTGGTTTTGATTTGCATTACTCTGATGGCTAATGATGTTGAACATTTTTTCATATCCATTATCATCCGTTTGTATGTCTCTTTTGCAGAAACATCTTTTCAGACACTCTTTAAAAATTGTTTTTTTTTGTCTTCTTGTTCTTGAATGAAAAATTTTTTAATTGTTACTGAATTTAGTATATTCTGGATACAAGTTCCATATCAGATATATGACTTGTGAATTTTTTCTCCCATTCCGTAGGTTGTCTTTCATTTTTTTAATTTTTTTTTTTTTTTGGCTGCATGTGGGATGTAGGATCTTAATTCTATGACTAGGGATAGAACCCATGCCCCCTGCAGTGGATGTACAGAGTCTTAACCAATGGATCACTAAGGAAGTCCCTTCTTGATGATATTTTTGAAGCATTAACATTTTAATTTAATTGTAAAGCAATTATCCTTCAATTAAAAATAAATCTAAACTTTTTTCTAATTTTGATAAAGCCCAATTAATTTTTTTTTCCTTTGGTTGCTTGTACTATTTAATGTCATATCTTAGAAACCATCCCCTACTCCCAAGGTTCATGAAAATCTACTTCTATTTTTTTCCTAAGAGTTTTGCAGCTTTAGCTCTTGCATGAGGTCTGTGATCCTTTTTGAGTTAATTTTTATATATGGCGTGAAAAAGGAGTTCAGATTAATTTTTTACACATGGATATCCATTTTATTGAAAGACTGTCTTTTTCCCATTGAATTTTCTTGACATCTTTGTTGAAAATCAGTTGTCCATAAGTGTAGGACTTTATTTCTGGCTCTAATTCTATTCTATTTTCTGTATGTCTGTTCTTATACCAGTAACACACTGTTATGATTGCTGTAGCTGGCTGGTATGTTTTAAAATCAGGAAGTTTTGGTCCTCCAACTTTCGTCTTCTTTTTCAAGACTGTTTGGCTAGTTTGTGTCCTTTCATTTCTATATGAATTTTAAGATCAGCTTGACAATTCCTAAAATTATGTGTAGCTTTCATACCTTTTTATCTATTCATTTAAATATATCCTTGAAAACACATTTTTTATTTTTACACAAAATTACAACAATTATTTTTTTCTGCAACTTTTTTCTTTCCCCCAATATTTTATTATGAAAAATTTTAAGTGTAGAGATTAGTTGAAAGAATAGTACAGTAAGTACCCATATACCCTCCTCCTACCTCCCAGTTTATACATTTTGGTATATTCATGTTATCATGTAACTAACCATTCCTAGCCATAACCAACTAGTCCATCTTCTATCAAATCATCTTACTATTTTGTGCATTTCAAAACAAATTGCATAAAAAAAACAAAGCAAATTGTATATATTCTCAGTATGCTTCACCTTTAAAGACTTCAGCTTATGTATTGTTAACTAGGGTTCAATTTTTCTACAATTTTTAAATGTAAAGTGAAATGCACAAATCTTAAGTATACATTCTGGTGAGTTTGACATATATACATTTACCTGTGTAATTTTAACCTTTATCAAGATATAGAACGTTTTCATAACTCTAAAACATAACTCCCTCTTTTAGTCAATTCCTGTCCTTAACCAATGTTGAAAGCAATCACTGTTTTTTTCCACCATAGATTTAGTTGTTATAGAACCTTATACTCCTTTTTTTTTTAGAATCTTATACTCTTGTACAAGGTTTCTTTCACTCAGCATAATGTTTTTGAGATTCATTTACTTTTCAATTATTCATAATCTTTGAGATTCATTCATTCTATTGTATGAATCAATAGTTTGTTTTTGTTTTGTTTTTTGCTAAATATAACATCCATTGTATGGATGCCCCACAGTTTATTTCTCCTTTTTCCTGTGGATGAACAAATTTCCACTTACCTGTTTCACTAAAAAGTTCTGATAACTGGCTTTTGTTTACATCAAAGTTATAATTATTATAATAATAATATAGTAATGATCATCTGAAAGCTTTGTAAATGTGGAAGTAATTTTTAAATTAAATAAATGCTTTTTTTAGAGTCTTTAAGTAACATATACTAGAGATTATGCAAACTTGTTCAGTTGCCAAGTCATGTCTGACTCTGTGACCCCATGGACCGCAGCACGCCAGGCCTCCTATCCCTCACCTTCGCCTGAAGTCTGCCCAAGTTAATGTCCATTGAATCAGTGATGCCATCCAACCATCTCATCCTCTGTTGCCCTCTTCTCCTTCTGCCTTCAATCTTTCCCAGCATCAGGATCTTTTCCAGTGAGTTGGCTCTTCACATCAGGTAGCCAAAGTACTGAAGCATAAGCTTTAGCATCAATCCTTCCAATGAGTATTCAGAGTTGATTTCCTTTAGGATTGACTGGTTTCATACTCTTGCTGTCCAAGAGATTCTCAGGAGTCTTTTCCAGAACCACAGTTTGAAGGCATCAATTCTTCAGCACTCTGCCTTCTTTATGGTCTACTTCTCACATCCATACATGACTACTGGAAAGACCATAGCCTTGACTATATGGACCTTTGTTGGCAAAGTGATGTCTCTGCTTTTTAATGCACTGTCTAGGTTTGTCATAGCTTTCCTTTTAAGAAGCAGTCATCTAATTTCATGCCTGCAGTCACCATCCTCAGTGACTTCAGAGCTCAAGAAGAGGAATCTGTCACCCTTACTCCTTTCCCCTCTCTATTTGCCATGAAGTGATGGGCAGGATGCCATGATCTTAGTTTTTTCAATATTGAATTTTTAGCCTGCTTTTTCACTCTTCTCTTCCACCCTCATCAAGAGGATCTTTAGTTCTTCACTTTCTGCCACTAAAATGATACCATCTGCATATTTGAGGTTGTTGATATTTCTCCTGGCAATCTTGATTCCAGCTTGTAACTCATCTAGCCCTGCATTTCTCATGATATGCTCTGCATATAAGATAAATAAACAGGGTGATAATATACAACCTTGATGTACTCCTTTTCCTATTTGGAACCAATCTGTTTTGTCCATGTCCAGTTCTAACTGTTAGAACTTTAGCATGGGTTAGGCTTTAGCATAGTCATTGCAGTTGTATTCATTTTCCACAGAGGACTAAAATTTAAATCTGAAATAGCAGAGGAGTCTTATTGACCTCCCTAACTATATTGCTTTGTCTTCCTTTACAGCAACAGAGCTTCTCAAACTTTCACATTTATATGAATAACCCCAGTCACCAGGGGATCTTGTTAAAAATGCATCTTCTGATTTGGTAAGTTTGGGGTAGAGCCCAAAATTCAGCATTTCTAATAAGCTCCCAGGTTATACCAATGATTCTCACCCATGGAATAGCAAATATCTCTAGCCAAAATGTACTGCTTACCTTTCTATGAATCCATCATAAATTCCCGTTTCCATTCCTATGTATGTGTGTGTGCTAAGTCACGTCAGTTGTCATGTCTGACTCTTTGCAACCCTGTGGATTGTAGCCTGCCAGCCTCCTCTGTCCATGGGATTCTCCAGGCAAGAATATTGAAATGGGTTTCAAAGCCCTCCTCCAGAGGATCTTCCTGACCCAGGGATTGAAACTGAGTCTCTTCTGTCTCCTGCATTGGCACATGTGTTCTTTACCACTAGCGCCATTTGGGATGGCACTAGTGGTAAAGTAAATATAAGTATGTTTATATTGTGTTACTCAAAATATAAGTGTCTTTAAAATATTCAAAGTCTGAAAGGAAAAGAACCCTTAAACTAAGAATAGGACATTATGAAAAAAGAACAAGCAGATTTTTAAAGGAATTAAGTATTCTATAAATGAAAAACATTTTCATTTAAAGTTAAAAAATAAAACTTTAATAGAAAGGGTTAAATCTTCTCCAGTTACTTTCTTCATAGTAGGAAGATGGCTTCCAGCATCAGCTAAAACTGCAATTTCCTTGTTTATGTCCCATAGGACATAAAAACTTCTCTAACCATAGAATAAAAATCTTTCCCAGGACTTCCCTGGTGGTCCTGGTGGAGTCTGCTTGCCAATGTGGGGGACGTGGATTTGCTCCCTGGTCCCGGAGGATCCCACATTCCATGGGGCAACTGGGCCAGGGAGCCACAGCTCCTGAGCCTGTACCCTGGAGCCCGTGAGCTGCAACTACTGAAGCCCGTGTGCCTGGGGCTCATGCTTCACAGCAGGAGAAGCCACCGCGGTGAAAGGCCTTGCACCACAACAAAGTGTAGCCCTTGCTCGCTGCAACTCGAGAAAGCCTGCGTGCTCAGCGAAGACCCAGTGCAGCCAAAACTAAGTAAATAGTTAATTAATTAAAAAATCTTTCCTTGTTGTGTAATTGGTTTAATACACAGTTGATAGGGAAATGCCATGCATAGCAATAGGATGGATCATCTTTCCCTAAGTTAGTGTGTTCCCTGGGAGAAAGGAGTGAGTACATGAACGAGTAAGTTTTCTTTTAGGAGGAAAAGTAGAGGAATGAATGCTTGGTATGCAACTAATAATGCCTCTATCATGAATAGGCAAATTTCAGATTCAATGAAATATTTTTTTCAACAAAAATATTGAAAGTTGTTTAACATCATGCTAGAATACAAATGGAAAATAGGAAAAAAAACAAAAACCTAACTGCAATCGTTCTATATACATTTGTCTTCCTTTGTATTTGCTGGGATTATTTCATTGCATGTTAAATACCCAGCTTAAACTGACTTTAGTTGTAAACAGAGATTTTATTGAAAGCTAATGGAGTCACAGATAGAAAAATAATGCTGAAGGCAGAGTAAAGATACAGATCAACCTCTGAAAAAACTGGCACCAAGAGTGTAAAAGTCATGAGAGCTCACTTTCTATCTCTGTTCTGCTCCTTTCTGAGCAATTCTCTTTTCTGTCTCTGTAGAGTGACTGCCTTTGCTTCCATATTCCATCCAAAGGGAAGCAAGGCTGCTGATAGCTCCAGGATTTTTTTACTTATAGCTTCAGCAGCTGCTGGGTAGACACTGACTCAACTCCTTGGATTCAAAGCCCATATAATCTTGGGTGTGCTCTGATCCACCCAGATGCCCACTTCTAGAATTAATTATGGCCAGGGGTACAAAGTTACATTTTTCAAGATGGTTGCTCCCAGGAAAACAATGTGGAAACTAGTCAAATAATACTATAGATGTCCTATAAACTGATGACAAAAGACTTAGGATATTCAGTATCTTCATATTGATTGATTGATTTTCACTCAGTCGTGTCTGACTCTCTCTGACCCCGTGGATTGTAGCCTACCAGGCTCCTCTGTTCATGGGATTCTCCAGGCGAGAATACTGGAGTGGGTTGCCATTTCCTTCTCCAGGAGATCTTACCGACTCAGGGATCGAACCCCGGTCTCCCGCATTGCAGGCAGATGCTTTAACCTCTGAGCCACCAGGGAAGCTCACTTTGTAGCTATCTTCATATTATGTCCCCCATAAAAAAATGACACTGCATAAGTAAGGCAGAAAATTAGGAAATAGCACTTTTTGTTACCAAGTAACATTAGGTTTCTAAGTGGCAAGCTAATCCCATGTATTTCATTCCTCAGTAGAATAGTAATTGGAAGTAGGAGAGTTACCTTACTTGGAATAAGAAGGAAGGTGCACCAAAGGTCTCCCATGCTCAAAAATATTTCCCACACATTCTGTAAGTTAAAAATTGTTATGGCTTTAAGTTAAAAAATGAGTCTGTGCCTATCAGAGCTGATACTTAATAAATATTTAGTATGAGGAATTAAGTATTTCAAATCAATATTTATTTTACATAAAAATGTAACTTTTAAAATTGTAAAAAAAAAAGTAATATGTGGTTAAAGTTTAAGAAATAGAAATAGTGCAAAAAGATCTCTATTAAAAAGTAAAATTCTTCATCTTGAAAGTAATCTTGGTTAGGAGCCATTGATGTGTTCCTTTTTATTTCATTGTTTTTAGTTTATTTTATGCTTTGTGATTAACTTTTAAAAATAATTTTATAATTAACATACCTTTATTATTTTTTAATTAACATACCTTTATAATGAAGCTAAACATTATAAGAATGTATAAAGAGATATAATCTGCTTTTCCTTCCAACCTCAGTTGGCTGGGCAAAGCAATTTTAACGACTTGGGTTACATCCTTCCATCTCATTCTGCATATGATGTACACTTATATGTCTTTTCTGTTAAAAAGGAATTGAGGAGGTAGCTGTGGAGAGACTCAAACATTTGAGTCTGTGGTAATCTAGCCACACGTAACTATTGAACACTTGAAATGTAGCTAGTCAGAATTAAATTGTGCTGAAGTATGAAATACATGCCAGATTTCTAAGTGTTAGTTTAAAAAAAAGAATGTGAAATACCTCACTAATAATTTTTATTGATTACACATACAGTGATAATATTTGGGGTATATTAGGTTAAATAAAATAGATTATTAAAATTTTGTCTACTTTTAATGTAGCTATAAAAGCTTAAAATTACACATGTGTCTCACATTACCTTTATATTGGGTACGGTTGCTCTGAACTAATAGATGAAGACTCTAACACTCTAATAATTGCATAATAGTCAGTAACAGGGATGTGAAACAATTGATTCATCTTTTCCCATTGATTATATCCAAAGTTTTGTAGCTCATTTTGTTTGTGTTTCACTACTGTATCAAATACTTCTTTTTTCTGTGAAGCAAATCACCTAAATTAGTGACTTAAAACAACAAATATTTATTATTTCTTAGAATTCTGAGAGTTGGCTGGTCAGTTCTCATCTGGGCCAGCTTAGCTGGTACTGGAGGGTTTAGAATGGCCTCACTCACATATCTGGGGCCTCAGCTAGGATGGTTTCCAGGGTCTTCTCCACATGATCTCTCATCCTCCAGGAGGCTGGTCCTATCTGCAGGAAAGAGCAAGCTCCAGTGTGTAATTACTTTTTAAAACATTTTTTAAAATTTTAAAATAATTTTATGTATTTATTTATGGCTGTGCTGGGTGTTCTTTGCTGCTCAGCCTTTTTCTGTAGTTGCAGTGAGGGGGGCTGCTCTCGAGGTGTGGCGAGCAGGCTTCTCATTGCAGTGGCTTCTCTTGCTGGAGAGCATAGTCTTCAGGGTGCTCCGGCTGCAGAAGTTGCAGCACTTGGGCTCGGTAGTTGCAGCTCCCAGGCTCTGGAGCACAGGCTCAATAGTTGCTGGGCTTAGTTGGGCTTAATTGCTCCATGGCATATGGGATCCTCCTGGACCAAGGATCAAAGCCCCATCTCCTGTATTAGTGGGTGAATTCCTCACCACTGAGCCAAGAGGGAAATCCTGCAATTGCTTTTCAACTTCTGTTTGTGCCACAGTTGTACCATCCCACTGGTGGAAGAAAGTCACCAAGTCCAGGATTCAAGTAGAGAAGTAGACTTTAACTCTCAGTGGAAGGAACAGCAAATCAAACTGCAAAAAGGACAAGTATACCAGGAATCATGAATAAATTAAAGGCAGTTACTATGATATGATAGTCGTAAGAAATACCCAATGTCATCAATGTATTTATCTTGCATTTTGAGGCCTTTATTTCTGTAGGATAGAGTCCTTAAAACCGAGACTGTTAGTTCAAATATTTTCCAAGTTTGTTGAAGCAATTTATATTCCTAGCAGCATGTATGAATTTCCTTTACTCAGTACCAGATATTATCACACTTTATGGTTTTTGGAAATCAGTGATAAATGATAACTTATTCTTGTTTCTATTTGCATTTCCTGACTAGTGAGGCTGAGCATTTATTCATATTTTTATTGAATGTTTGAATTTCCTCTTTTGCACCTTGCCTATTATATCCCTTTTCCATTTTTTCTACTGGTCATTTGTTTCTAATTAGCCTGTAGAAACTTTTTGAATGCTAGGGACTGTAACTCATATGTTATTAATATAAATATTTTCCCAGTCAATTGTTTGTTTTGATTTTATTTATGCTTTCATGATAGAAAAAACTTAATATGCCAATAGTGAAGCTTTCCTTTGAATTCTTCTCCCCTGCCCCTGGTAATCTCTCTATTTATTTTAATGTCTTAAGTTTTTTTTATTGATGTATAGTTGATTTACAGTGTTGTGTTAATTTTTGCTATACAGCAGAGTGATTCAGTTATACATATATATACATTTAAAAATATCCTTTTCCATTATAGTTTATCTCAGAATATTTAATATAGTTTCCTGTGCTATATAATGGAACCTTATTGCTTATCCATTCTATATATAATAGTTTGTATCTGCTAACCACAAACTCCCATTCC